GTCTTTGTGGGCATTTTCTTTTTATTAATACACCAGAAGATAAAAGCATTCCTGGATGTGTCATCAAGTGCATAGCGTGAAAGAACACACTAAGATCGCAGAGAGTATCTCGAAAGGTTCGCTATGTTGCGTACGTGCGCAAGTGTCTCGATTCCATGGCCCCATATCTCGAAATAAAATCGGTTATGGAATCGAGACACTAACGCACGTGCGCAACATAGCGAACCTTTGGAGATACGGAGCCCTGGGTTTCAAATATAACCCACTCTGCAACTGCCTTCATATCAGCAGACACTTTATTATAAAATCATGAATAATACTCTTGGGGCATGCAATCGGTTGATCATACTTTGAAGTCTAAAATGGCACAGAGAAATGCACAGTTATTGCACAGCCTACATAATTGATCGATGCGCATTGTTGGTATACGGAAATATAATGACCCATGGTTGGTATAAGGAAATATAATGGTTCATGGTTAGTATAGATAATGTTCCATTTAGAGACTTGAACTGCAATTACCGTTGATCAAATGGTAACTAACGATCAGGATATTGTACCGTTCTCCACGCAAATTCCCTGAAATATCGTACATGACAACATAAACCATACGCTAGATTTAGAGATCTACAGATTTACCATAAGAGTTCCTAGATTATGACTGTAATAGTGCGTTTAAGTATATTGATTGTAGATCTTGTTATATACTAGAGAACAGTTGAAAAACAAAGGAATGTGGGGGTGCATGTAGATTCAATGGGTAAGGGCGCGAAAATGTTTAGGCCTATATTTGATAATGTTTTGATGATGATTAATTATTGGCTCTCCAGACTTAGTTAAAATAAAAACATTCTTCTGATTCAACAGGTGAATCACAATAGATATAGCATACGTAGGACGTATTAGAGTGGATTTGGTGAAGATAGAACGCTAAATTAATCTTTTACACTTAGACTGCCTTCAGCTGAATCTGTATATGGGTAAAATTAAAATATGCCATACCCGAGTGAGCATTATCTACTTCCCTAAGCTAGGAATGTTACATTAAAATACGTCGTAATGTTACATTATAAATCCCAGTTTGTGGTCGTCTAAACCGGCGCTAAAGATCAATGCACACTTCAGTGATGGACAAAATATATTGTGCCTTTTCCTGTGATTAGCCTAGCGCAAATTCTCATTTAATCGCTCGTCACTTCGCTGTAAATAATGAAAGGATTGAAACCGTAGCAGGTGGCTCTTAGGGGATCGTTTTATTGCATTTTTACGCCATGAGACGATTGCGAACACATTGCAACGCGTGGTTGCCGGTAACGACCACTCATAATGATTCATAATATAAGTTTTAGGTGCCAGAAATATATATTTATGCAAAATGCTCGTTTGAGTTCAAATGAGACGCAGAGGAGTTATAAATCGGGGTCTTTCCATGTTATTATTATTATTTTTATTATTGATAACCGTATTTAAGGAGAACGTTATTGCTAGGCCAATCATCTTAGCAATTAGCTCATCAATCTGTAATGAAGGCATACATTTAAGAAGTAAACGCGATCTTGGACTCCTAACATGGAAGGGTAATCACTCAAGAAATAATGCACCGGCCGATGCACTGCTATACGTACTTGTAGGGAAATCATCTAAAATTTCTCTCCGCATGGGCAGACGATGACATAATGGGTTATTTAGGTTCGGGACATTCAGACATTCAGGCATATAATTTGACTGAATTCGCAGCACTATTAAATGTCAACTATTCGTCACACCAGTGTCCTTCAACGGAAATTATGTAATCTTTTTCTAAGGAGCACAAAACGTTTGTTGGCGTTGAGACAGATAAGTGAGGTTGTGGCGTAACGTTTTCAATTTGTCGTCTGCGACCAGCGTAATGAGGATGAAGCGGTTCTGAAAATGATCTTATCTTACGAATAGGATAGAATGTTCGACCTCCCAGAAATGAGAAGAAAGAAGGGTATTACATTTTGAATAAAGTTGATACTTGTCGCCCACTTACGCTCCCGTGTGCACTCATGACAATGAGTAACTGCAAAATGGCATCACATGTTTTAATCAGGAATGTTTTAAATTTTTGTTTCATGTATCATACATGAATTTAAACATTTAAATTTTACGTTCATATTTACAGTAGCCTTAACATCAAGCAACAAAGATTAGTTACAAAAAAAAAGACAAAAAAAAAAAAAGACAAAATGCTCTGGGAAATGGCGTTATCAGCAGTAGAAACATTTTCATGGATAACTAATTCAGAAATAATTGAGTCAGTGAGAGACACACGAGTGTGGTTGGGATCCATATACATAAAAGTACCAAAACACATAATAGACCTAAACCGCATTTGACATCCTCAAACGGATATCATTATCATTTAGCCCCTCGCATGTTTAATTTATCACTAGTGTATTTTCGTTGTCAATAGGATGTAAACTGACAGGATATAAAAAGACAGAATAAATTAAGCTGGCGATTGGGAAATATTAAGAGGAAATTGTGCAATGCATATATACGATGGATGAAATAGGAACTATAAATATATGTTGCCTTTAGCAAGAGCGATTTTGCTAATTAATATGTTGTGTGAATAAGAGGAAATGTGCTCATGGCACTGCAAAAGTTTCCCCAAATTAAGTCTTGTTATTTCTGGTTTTTTAAATTAGAACTCCCAAATGGCACAAGACTGCAGTGAAATTGTAATCGATATAGAAACGAAAAGAACTGAGACTTGCTACACTAACATTTATCGAACATGTGCGCTCAAAGGAAAACAAATACTGTACATGCATTCATAAATACATTTCAAGCAAATTTGACATTTTTCATTTTAAATCGTCTGCTGCCGTTATGTTTAACACCAGGCTATAGAGGCAGTGAGGGTGAGTGAGTAAGAAAGAGAGAGAGGGGGGGAGGGGAGAGAGTGTGTTAACTGTTATTCGAATTCACATTTATAAACTACCAATGGGACTCTATACATGGTCCAGATATATATCCACGTAAGTTCAAAGACTTCAAACCATGGGTATGTCGGGGCGTTAAAACGAACGTGAGGTACATCAGCAGAATGAATCACATTGGAGTCGATTCTATAGAGGAGTGCCAGAATTACTTTAACTGGCAACTTGATATCCTTAGAATGCTGCTGTTCAAGAGGTGGAGTGATACAGTATTACATAATATTACTCTGATGTATCTTCCTATAGGTAAGGAGGGGTGCCTTCATATACAAGGCAGCAATTTCTGGCATGGAGAAACCTACGGGAGCGGTAGATTAAGATGCGAGATAATGAGAGAAGTAGTCTTCGAAATTAATGATTAAGCTATGATTATGTGATAATAAATCCATTGTAAGAAAATGCACCATAGAAATGGTGACTATGGACAGTACGAATGGAAATTCATTTTGGAATAAATTAACAGACAGATGTAAGAGGGTGTGTGTGTGTGTGTGTGTGTGTGTGGGTGGGTGGGTGTGATTATCAAATATTTGTTTGATATATTCAAAAACCTCTGATAAGGACTACTGGAAGAACAAGACTGGTATTCCAATATACAAAATGATCACCAAAGTCACTATAAAAAGGGAATCTAAGAACCGTAAGTTGTATGTCATTTTCCTCTTTCTTTCCTGCTGCACCACAGAGCACATTCCGGGACTGGGACGGTTCTGGCGATAGTAAAATTACTTTTAAAGAGTACATGGACGCCATGACCGGCGCCCCGCCCGAACTACACATGTAAGTGACCAAAGATGTCCCCGCATGATGTATATGTCTTCGTTGTTGATGTCAGTGTAAAAGATGAATGTCAAGCCCGCTGACGTGGTGAAGTACTCTACAGTGTTGCAAACTTTACGGTACTCTGAAAGGTGGTGATCTGGTTTTCTGCGCTTTTCGTGGTAGGATTACGCCCTGAAGGAATGGAGTTTAAAAATGAAAAGAGTGCTTAAAAGTTGGCAGCCCTGCAACTGTTGTTGTTTTTATAGATTATAATTATTATTTTTAGCTACTTGGTAGCTGTTACCGTCTCTGTGGTTGTTGTCGTTGTTGTGTGTTGGTATTTATGTCAAAGAAGTGGTAAGTTCATTGATGTTCTATATGTCGTTGCTTACCATTTTATGTCACCCAGTGTATTGTAATAAAACACAAAATGATGTTTTTAAACCCGGTTGTTGTATTTGGTTGGGGTGAATGCCTCACATGAAAGTGAATTTATTGGTGACACTTCGAACATTCAATCTTCACACATATTTTTCTTGTTTGCTAAATACCAAACGTTAAAAAGTTCTGTAGACTCTGAATACTGTGGCCATGCTTATTGTTCACATTTCATAAAATGACTGATTCTAATATGAGAGGCATATTTACTAACGGCGACCATTTTACAGTTTAGTGAAAAAAGACAAACCTTTCAAAGCAAACTAACACTAGTGACAATCATACATAAAAATTAGAGTAACATTCACAGATAAACAGACTGATGTTTAAGAAGTAAATGTATTTTTTTTATTCACCGTATTCACCTGACGTCTAAGAAGAGACGCACATTTAACAGCCAAAACAGCGCCAGTAACAAATACTACTTCACAATCGCACAAAAGAGCGACCAGACCAATAAACGTCTATGTTTTGGTTGGATTAATTAAATATTATTATTATTATTGTTATTATTAAAATCTGAATTTATTGATGTGAAATATTTAGTTTTGCAAGGGAGTGTTAATTCAGCTTGCACATGAACGTACAGTATGTGTGTTAACAGTTACCATAGCGTTTTCTTGAGTCACCAGCTAAAATCAGAAAATCCCGCTCTCCAAGGTCTCGAAATCTGTCCACTCAACGTGTCAATGGAAAAAAAGACTGTTGGAGGCGTGACCGTAGTGCTGGAGTTGTGTGCGCCTGGTTTTGGCTGGAGACTGCAGAAACCGCCGCATCCTTGCATGTGTTTCAGCCATAGATGTTGCACGGTGTTTTATGTCTCTCTTCCAGAACTACTTCAGTAATGCCGACATTTCTGGGGACGGTATAGTTACTTTTGACGAATACATGGTTGCCATGGGGCAGGTGCCTCCGGAGCAGCATAAGTGAGTTACGGTACTGTAGAGCACGCGTGTGGCGATGCACGTGCTCATACGAACACGATCTGATCATGTAGTGCATTAATTTTACTCCGTTACTATCCCATAGCTGAACTTTCGATTCTGTTCAGATTCAGATGTTTTATCGGAACGTTTAGTGTCGACAATGAAAAAGTAAGGTCACTATACTATAACGCATATAAACGTTTTTTTTTTTTACAATTTCATTTTTATTGCGATGCAGATATTTTCATTCCGTGGTGCTATTGCACCAGTAAGTCTGTTTGTACTGAAGGTCCTGCTGATGATAGAAAAGTGCATTTTACAAATTCATAGATGAAATCATAATTCGTCGATGTACAGGCTCATAGCCAGCATTTCAAAGGGGGGGGGGGTTCTTTTTCTGAAAAACTGGACCTTTTACCCTGAAACTTCGAGTATCTAGATAAAATTTTATCCAAAGGGGACCATTTCCTGGCAAAAAAGGGAGGGGAATTCCTGGCAAAAGGGAGATTCTTTCGACGGGGGTTTTTGCCCCCCCTCCCCCCGAACTTCCCTGGCTACGGGCCTGATGATCGTTAGTTGCTTTAACAGATGCTGTATATGCAGTTTTATTAGTAGTTATACATTTTAACATATCTATACTTTAATCAATGTGAAAGTGATACCTGAGCTGGTGTGAGTCAGTGAGAAGAGAAATGGGAAATGCGGTAGTTGAGATGGTAACAAAGTGGTAACATTCATCATTGCGGACGGCTTTTCTCTTTCTAGGGCCGCAACGCTTCGTAAGCTGTTCAATGACTTTGACATCGATAAAAGCGGCTTCATCGACAGTAAAGAGCTGCAGGCAATCTTCAAAGAGATGGGTTCCGTGTATTCCGAAGATGTTTGTCAACGTCTCATCGATGCGGCCGACAAAGATGGCAGCGCGACCCTGGACTACGAAGAGTTCATCAAGAAAGTATTCGGTTATTAAAAATAATGCGGAAAAGACAAAACAAAAAACAAAAAACTGACGTTCGACGTTCGTGTATTTCCGCCACGAAATCCGGACGAAGCCGAGTTGGTCTTCGCTCTTGTGGGCCAGTCTTTAGCCTTTTGTAAAGAGGTGCACGGAAAGATTGTGTGAACTGGGTGCGATTCGGTTTCCTTTGAAACTTTTGGAACTCCGCAGTTGAATGGGATTCCCCTGGCTGGTACACAGAACAGTGCAAAACTCATTTTTAGCAATTTTTGTCGACTTGGCGATATTAGTTACATCATGTTAGTTTTCATGCCTCTTCTAATTTTTGCTTATATTGAGCAGAGCAGCATTTGGAGATGTTTGAGA